TGCGTGTGTTTAACATGGAGTGTGCAGGGGACACGTGCACGAGCCACGATTTCACCGACGGTGACTAATCAAACTACTTAATTCTTCCATTCCACAGGGCTGCCCGACAATTCACAGCAATTAGAAGCGAGATATGTGGGAGAAGCACACACAGTAATGCCCATGCCATGCAAAATATGTTGACCCTTTTGTGTCCATGGGTCTGGCACAACCTGCACCCCTGTTGCTGCCATCTGCCCACACCAGCACGGTCGGCTGCAGGCTGATGGGCCGGTTTACTCCAGAGGAGTCAGTGCTGCCAGGCCTCCCTGTGCCCCTGCAATGCCCTCCCTGCCTTCCTGTGCTCTTCATCCTGTGCTCATCCTGCTGCAAATAGTGCAGTCACAGCCAGCTGCCAGGATCTGATTATTAAAAGATACCTCTGCCCGAATTAAGGTGCAAAAGAGACCATATGCCAAAGTCAATAGCACGGACTTTATTTGACAGTAAATGTGAGGTAGAGAGAAACAGGAAGAGGGGGAGGTGGAGAGAGAGAGAGAGAGAGACATATTAAGCAAAAGATCACCACCACATGGATTCCACTGGCATCTCGCTTTTTCTGATCTCAGTGGTGGTGGCGGCATCCCAAAGTCGTGCTTCTGGGATACCATTTTTGTACATTTCAAGTCCTGGATATTCACAGGGCATCAGGAGATGTTCCCACAACTTGGAATGGCATGGGTGTAAGTAGTTGTTTTCTTTCCCACAGCTTGCACAGTGAAATTTTGCAGGTTTGCTCATTTCAAACCTTCGCCTTCGTTTAGGTTTGGAATTAACGTTTTCCTTTCTCTCAGTTTTCCACGTTGGGAATCTTTGTCCTGATAGGTTACCCAGATCTGCATTACCACGCCTGGTTCCTGTTGTTGCCATCTGCTCTTATCACAGGTTCCTTTTCTGACTTATGGGAATTTCTTTCTTTGACAGTGTTTTGAGACCATTAATTGCATTCTTTAAGTCCTGACACTGGCACAGTCCTTTATCTCACCTTACTTACTTTCTTTAAGCAGTTGTTTGTAAGAATGTGTTTCCTCCTTCCCACGGCGTTGAGCCCGCAGCTGGCGAGTAACTTCTGTGCAACACAAAGCAAAGACAAATCACTCGTCTACGACAGTATCACTCAGAACAAAATATCTCAGCTGCATCTGATAAGACAGCTGCAAAATATGTACAGCTCTTTGGAGTATAAGAACGTGAAGTGTGTGGAAAAAAAACCCCACAAACATTTCTGGATGGCACTATCAAAAATGTTTAGCACATGGTTAGGAGTTTCCAGTCAAGTGGAAGATAAACCTTTAATAGACTGCAGCGATTTGCTGTCAATGGCACTTTCAAAAAGCTCAATTCAGATCAACCAGGTTAGGAGGTGATACAGACATTTGTAAGCTAAACAAAGGAGGTTACAGACCCGAAGGTGAGATACAAAATAAGGCATTTAACTGCGTAAGGGTCAATGAACGTAACACATGGAACCTGTGGAATTGTATTCATATCATTAGTCCTATTAAAACATCTGACAAACTGGTTACCCCCTGAGGATGAGTTGTAGCACCGAGGCTCCAGTTTAATTGTCTTATGGAGTGTCTGAAATGTGAAAAAAAAATGGTTTTCTTTCAATGTTTAGGTGTCCTAGTTTGGATAGCAGCAGAGGGCCATATTAGCTTCTGTGAGATGAAAGAAATTTAATGCATACTGCTATAAGCAAAACAGCAGCAATTTAAAAGAGCAAAATGCCCTTCCTATAAATACTACACATATGCTGAAGAATGAAATTCCTGGTTCTGGAGCCTGATCCTTTTTTTTGTGAAGGGAGGAAGCGCGATGGATGTTGCTATATTGCCCTCTCGTGGGTCGAGCCTGCAAACAGCAGCTGAACGTACTGAGCTGCCACTCAGTGTCACTCGCGGGTTTTCATCGGCCTCAGCTGAGAGCTAAGGGGTGTCCTGCCTGAGGAGAAAGGATTGAGAGATCGGCACGCGGTATTTAGTCAAATAAGTCCATTTCCCCAAAATCCTCTCTTTCTGCGTTTCTGCAGAACACAGCTCTGAGGGTAGGTCCCCGTGGGAATTGCAAATGTTGTCCTGTAACATCAAAACAATAAGCAGTAGAAATACAGTACCACTCCTCTTCCCAATTCTCTTTCTGCAGGACTCAATGCAGCAAACAGTAATTAAAGAGTGGGAGGATGAACAACATTATTTGGTGGCACAGTGAGTGGATGAAGCACAGGCCAGAAGTGAAGGGAGCATACAAGGGAAGAAAATCTACACACAGATCCATGTGCTGTGTGATGCAATCTATCACACAGAGTGCTGCAATTGCCTCCCACATTGCTGTATCTCATCTCTATTCTGTCCTGCTCTTCTGGGAATTTTAAAACAGCATTTTCCTGTCTAGCTGAGGTACTTTTGTCACCTGTGCTGAGAGAGTTGTCTGAGTACTTCACAGTCTCTGAAATATTTATCCTCTTACTTTTCTTGTCAGGTAAGAAAATTCTCCATTTTGCAGATGACAAAGTGAGGCACATGGATTAATTCTCAGTTCAAAAAAGAGATTTATTCATGCAAAGTGGTGCTTAGGCTGAATTTAAGAGTCTATATCCAAAATGTACTTTGTGGAAAGCCCTGTTCAAGGGTTGGAAGCATCTGATGGCATGCAAGGAAGCTGTCAGGGAGTTCCCTTCTCTGCCTGAGGGAGAGGAAAAATGACAGCAATTCCATTCTTTGTTATGAGCCATTTATTTCTGTATATGAAATAAAACTTCTGAAATAAAACTGCATTCAGATAAGACTTTGCATGCAGCCTCTGCTACTCATAACCACCTTGGGGTGGAGGAGGAACAGCTTACAAAGCTCCCAGAAGGGAAGGAATCAAGGTAAGATTTTGTCCTCCTGTGCTGTGACTTGCTGAGGGAAACTCTGCCTCTCTTGTTTTATGCACACTGGACACCTACATCCCCAGGGAAAACCCTCCCTGAGAGCCTGCTACTGTGTCAACAGCCAAGCCACCCAAGGCCTTGGCTTCACTAAGCTGATCAGATAGGCTTATGATGAATTTGTGAGGCTGTTTGGATCCTGACCTACTGTTCAGAATTCATTTCTGAACTCTGAACTGTCCTGGAGTTCAGTCAGAAAGACTTTATCACAAAACATGGTGCCCTACTCCCGACCGATAACCTATAGCACTACTCTGGGAAACACCAACCCTGCATCCTGGGCTCTTCTAATCCCGTGAAAGTTTGAGCCTTCCTCTCCCTGACCTCAGAAAAATGCCCTGAACATCAGGTGCTGACTATGTGGGGTGGGAATGATCCCCATTACTCTCAGGCCACTGAGAGAGGAAGGTCTGCAGCACCAGCAGAGAGCAGCTGTGAACTGCAGCTCAGAGGGCTTTGTGCCTTCTGCAGGCAGGACTCCGGCTCCTACTCCAGAGTATTTTGCTCAGTTTTATGAGAGCTGTGTTTCAATTTCCTTACTAGCCTGAGGAACCACAGCGTGCCCCTCCCCAGGCTAAGTGCCTAAAGCCAAGGCTTCTGATCCAGTCCCCTGTGGGGATTTTGCTCTCACAAATCCACATTTTTGACTACCGAGTGGTCTGAGCTCAGCAAGAGGTGACAATCACCCTGGTGCAAAATGCCCCATAAACTGGTAGCTTTTCCTGTAATGCACAGCCATTTGTTCAAATGACAGGAAGGGTGATGATGGTTTGGGAATTAGTCTCCTGGGCACTTTTTGTAATCCTGGCTATGTAAGAGAGCAGGCAAGACCCTGCAGACACTGAATCCCTCTTTCTCCAGGGAAACATCAAAGACAAATTTTCAGTTCTCTTGGTGTTTCTGATTGACTAGTCTGAAACTCTCCTGTACTCACCAATTTGGCTTTTGGACATTCCCATCTGGATGCCTGATTTTGCTGTCTTTGATGGAGAGTGACTGTCACCCCACTGTCACGGGCAGACAAAGTTTATTAAAGAAATCCCCCCACTGAATCCCAGGGTGCAGAAAGGACCCCTTGCTTTCTAAATCTGCTACAAAGGATCCAATCTTAGCCCCGGACTTTGTCAATAGTTTATGTGTAAAGTATTGTATAGGTGTAATTGAACCTTCATAAAACGTTGTCACCAGGATTAAGGACACCAAACCATATACATTTATATAAAAATATATATTTGATTTATTATGATAATGAATAGACAAAATTATCTTCATCAGAATTATTAATGACACAGTATAGGAGCTATAACAATATTATAATACTATTATAATATAGTGCACTAGGAAGCAATATTGAAGCAGTATATAGATATAGAGAGATGTATATGCTAGTCTATTAAAGCTAACAAAAAATTAAGTAGAGATTGATGTCCCCCATACCAATGACTGTGGGCAAATCTCAAAGCCTCAAGGACTAACACTGTGAGACAGCCTCACTCAAGGGAGGAATCTCCACCCATACACTCCAAGAAGGGATATGTTAGAAGACCCCACCATTTAAATTTCAGACTGGACCCATGACAAGTATAAAGTGACTGACTGTCTATCATGTATCTCCAGTCTGGCTGTGTCAGCTCAGCAGCCTTAGATAACCAATTGGTATCACTTGTTTCTTCCTTTATCCGGGTGCTTTACCAGGCCCACCACATCTTCACCTCACTATCAGGATGTTTAACTTTGGGATTGATGAGTCAGACTGATTTTTGTTCAACACCAAAAGCAGCATGACTCCTCCTCCACCATTTACCACTGGTAGCTTTGCAAATAGGGCATTAATTGTGTTGTTTTACCCCGTTCCAGGCAGAGCATCCTGCTACACCCACCAAGACGCACCATCCTGCTACACCTGCAGATGTCATGGCAGAGACGATGCTGGCAAGAGTGATACCGCAAGCTGCACATTACAACTCTTAAAGCCCGATGCTGGCCACCTGCTAAAGTGCTATTGAAAGCAAACAGCCATGTTAGACAGAAAGCTTTGTTTTCTTTCTTGAGTTTGGGACAAATCACTCTAGAGCCCATCTCCCCTTAAAAAATTACTTCTGAAAGAGGTTATTCATGTGGCTTACTAACAGCACTTAAATTTAGGCAACTAATTTAGACATCTGAACTGGGAGACTATCCTGCCTCGTTTTCTTTGTATGGAGTGCGGGGAAAGAAAAACTCACCCAGAAGGTTTTCAAAGCTGAAACTAAAAGTCAGGGGCTGTTTCCAAGTCATCAGTGGTGGTTTACATTACAATGCAGTGCAATATCTGGATTTTCTGATTTGTCCTCTAAAGGACTCTCACGTCTGCAGTGGTAGGAATAGGCACATTTAAGACCAGGCACCTCCTTCCATTAAGCAGTGCATCTGTCTCCTAAGTGTGACTGTGTGAAGAGAAACAGTCCTAGCACTTTTCTACTTGATAATTCAACTCAGCAGTAAGGAAAAGTGTTACATTAGTGTTACATTAGAAAACAGACACTGTTTTTATGTATACTGCAGACATCTTCTTCTGAAGCTTCATTCAGCAAATAATTTGGAAGTCGACTCAAAGCCCACACAAAGAAGATGATGTCTTACTATGTTCATGTCTTTAAGCAGATGTCTAAGGACATCTCTATTCAGCAAAGTGCACTCATGCGCATTTAAATCCCACTGGAGGCCAATTTTCCCCCATAAGTGCATTACTGAACTGGGATTTTGAAATACATCATCGCTTCTGTTCCTCACTTTGGAACTCTACTGTTTCAAGAAAAAAAAAAAGCCATTTGGAACTAATCATGCACATTTTGTCTAGCAGATAGGCATTATAGCAGATTGTGTTTTCCCTTCAAATGAATGTCCATATGAGCAGGCAAACTGTGGTGTGCATAGAGCTGAAC